CTGTTGTCCACAATGTTCTTCCCTTTATGAAGAATTCTTCTTTGTGAAATCATCTCCAGATGTTCCAGATAAGTTCCTTGAACTGAGCCAACCTTTTTTATCAGCTCGTTGAATTTATTTACAATAAGTAATTTGCTCGGATAACTTTACCCCAACAGGTGATGGTAAATAGCAGTATTTACCATGTAGTAGTAACTGCACATGGGCAGCTAATTTCATATATGCAGCTAATATGCACTAAATCTAAATGTATGGATGTCAAAGAGTTTCAATTCAGTGGTATGTTGCTAACTTTAGCTCACTAGATTATTGTCCTTTATGATTTCTTTCTTTTTGATAAAGTTTGATGTAATTCCCGCCATCTCTGAAAGCAAAGCAGAATATTTATGTCATAATTTGCCTACTTATGGATGTCTCCCAAATATATTCTCCATGATTTACTGTATGCAGTTCAACTGTTTGACTGGAGATTTTACAGACATCCTCTTATCTTGCAACTGCGGCTCAATGTCTTGGAGCACGAGTGAGGAGGAAAGCCATCACAGCAGTAACATAAACATATAATTAGCTACGTCATAGCTTAGATTTGAATCATTGCACTTACATGAAACAAATCAAAAGTTTAAAAAAACAACAACAACTGAATTTAAAGATATTTCAACAGCTTTGGTCTTAGTTGGTGTTGAAAAAAAGCCTGAGTCATCAGTGTCTAAGAGAGACATGACTGGGTAAGTATTTGGTTGAGTCTGAGGTGAGACTGAAACCATAGAGTAGTCTGGAAAACATCTGGCCTTTATTGATGTTGAAATAACTACTGATGACGCTGCAACCTACCTTCTTCAATTTTATGGAATCTTAACCATCTTTTTTTTTATTTCAACCGATTCTAGTATTTTTGTAAAATAGCTAAAAGGGTTCTTGTTGTATTTAGTGAAAGTGAAGAGCTAAGCTCAACCAGTTTACCGGTAGTTATTATCATAACCAGCTAACTTTGTCAACATTACTGTGTGTGTTAAATAACTGAATTAGAAGAGCAATATCTTTACAATTTATGTACCAAAATAACTGACTTGAGTCTGAGACATAATATAAAAAAAGGTTCCCACATTATTTTGTCCAGATATGAGCTGAAATACTCTGCTATCACATGATATTATTATTCTAAAGGATTTACCAAATCAGAGTGAGGGTATAGGATGTCAGCACTGCAGAGCTCTAAATGCCTGTACATTTATCTGGCCTCATTTATAAACTTCCAGTTAATCCGGATAAAACAGTAAAGTGGCGGCAAATTGTGTCCATTAGAAGGCCGCGCTATACTTGGAGGATGTTCCAGATGTTGTGAGGAATAATTTTCTCATTCAAAATGCTCCAAAGCTAAATGTAATGCTGTGCTTATCCAGCTCAGCTGTGACTGGCGCTGTTGAAAGGCATTTAAAAGGAAGCAGCTTCAGATGAATTATTATTGGTTGCAGAATTTGTTTGGATTGATTGATTTCTTCTGGGAAAATGGAAACTATAAAACTGGCTGCAGAGTGGCGCAGTTTGTAGCACTGTTGCCTTACAGCAAGAAGGATCCAGGTTCGATTCCTGTCTCTTTCTGCATAGAGTTTTCATATTCTCCCCGTGCATGTGTGGGTTTTCTCAGAGTACTCTGGCTTCCTCTCACAGCCTAATATCACAGGCATCTCTAAACTGTCTTTAGGTGTGAGTTTGTGTGTCCCTTTATTGCCCTGCAGCAGACTGGCGACCTGTCCAGGGTGTACCACACCTTTCAACCATAGCCTGCCAGAGATAGGCACCGGCTCCACCACCACACTGACGGAAGATGGATGGATGGATGTTAGATGTGTTGTGTTGTCATAAATGTTTTACAGAGCATTGACATACACAAATAAAATGTATTAAATATGCATGACAGGTGATGTTTTTTGGAGCTGCAAATGTGAACACACAACAGTGCAATTATACATTCTACTGGGATGAGGAAATACTGCAGTCAAAATGCAAATAGATTACATCCTGTCTTTATTAAGGCTAAGGTTATAATTTGCAAATACTCTTTGTTGGTTATTTATATTATTTTTTAAGTCTTTAAAACACTACTAAATTATTTACATTGTAGTAATTCAATGGCCGTATGTTCCTATGCTCTTTTAAAGTAGTCTTAATGAGTTTTTTGTTTCTATGTTTCTTTTAATGTTTTAATGTTTTAACTCCTTTTAAACTCATTATCTACCAAATGGCTATTTTGGTATTTGCTTAAACATAGAAGGTGATTCAAATCAGCTACCACTGAAACCTATAATTAAAAGTAAATGTTTTCAAGGTAAAAGGGAAAAGAAAAAACATTACTTCCCAAATCGCATTTCTTGAGGAACCAAATTATTAGTATTAAAAGCTTCTTCTATGCTACACACAGTTCTAATTAGCATAAGTTATATTGAATCAATGAAAGAAATAGACACAAAGCATCTGAAAAATACTTGTTGAGATCCAGTTTAAACTAGTTTCTAGAACACCCCCACCCTTTGGTATAAGGGTCTCCTCATTGCTGAATCTCTCAGTGCAATCTCAATTAGAGTCAGTTAGGGTTAAGTTTCCTTTGAAGGTTGTATTTCACTTCATAAAATTTAAAATATGACTACATCTGCCCTGGTTGTACAGAAAATACAGTAAACTTACAATAAACCTGAATTGCTTAATGTTGCTTTAGTAAAAAAAAACAAAAACAAAAAAAACAAGCTGTTTTCATTGAACAATATTTTCTCCTTGTAGTTACCATTTTTTGAAAGGGTTCTCAAATATACATAATGCTCTATGAGCTGCGCTTTATTGTTTTTCTTTCTCCTGCATATTAAATACAATGCAACATGCATATATTTAGAATGCAAATGGGAAGCAGTTTGTATATGTATGCACATACCCTGAACTGGTATCCTCACCCCAGCAGGAAACCTGAAGCATACTGATTTCTACCGGTTGTGTGAAGAGCCTTAATGAGTTGTGGTTTTTATTTATATCAAGAGAGTGGATTGTTTGTTGCACACTGTTGGTAAGGTCCTTATGCCATAAGCTGCTGGATCTGATATGCATCACACCCAAGGTTCCAAGAGCATTATAATAACTTACCTGATTTGCACAGTCTGAATAGCTTCAAAGTCACAAACCGGGCTTACATACTCAAACCCATTTTTTCCCAAACCTTTCTTGTTGGACCCATCCCTGTGTTTTAAAAACATTTCTATTCCCCAAAATTTAACCCCCAACGAACTTGCCCAATTTTTGAAAAGATAAAAGCTGCAACTGTGGTACCCCATGCCTTAACAAGGGCCATATTAATACTGCCAAAATGATAATGGACCGCCACAACATTTCAATGGAAGTTTTGTTTTAGTTCCAAATATTATGAAAATTATAGTTCACCTCAATATATGATGATGAGTCCACTGTACCTTTACTATGCAAAAGAAGGGCTCTTCAAAAATGCACACTCAGTACACTAATCTCTCTAAAGGAGACCTTAGGAGACCTTTAATCATTTTGGGTTCAGTTCAATAAGCTCTTGCTCAAGACAGATCCGCTAAACAAATAATACCTGATGTGCAGAGCAAGCATTACATTTTAGTCTTTGTAAGCTCCTAGAAAGCGGATCCATTGCTCTCCCCTTGTAAAGGTCATGCTGTCTACAATCCGCAGACCAACGATGTCAGTTTGGGTGAGCTCTGGACCACCAGTCTTCATAGATTACAGCCCTCAGCCCCTCCCACACTACAAAATCATTTGGCTAATGGAATGCCACGGACAGGCTCTGAACTGCTGTTTAAGAAAAAAAAGGACAGTTATTTGTAGGGAGCAACAGATAATCCATTTTGCCTACACAGACCTGAGAGAGCACCCACTTATGCTATCAAGAGCACCGGAGACACTCTAATCCATAATCCACTCTTCATTTCTGATTGCTTACATCAGGAAATTGTTTGCATCAGATCTACAAACCTAGAATAATAACACAGTAGAAGCCAGACATGTTTTGGCTGCTGCTCTAAATGGCTACGCATGGATGGTGTAAAGGCAGCAACTTCTAGCAGCTAAGAGAAAGCTAATAATTTGCTGGACATTCGTGCAGGACTGGCGTGTATGTCTGCAGTACGTTAAGGTTAAATTTAAGGGGAAGATGACGTATATAAGTTTTCCTTCAGGTTTTTTCATGTACTGGGCAGGAGGAAAATGGGATGGCTGTAAAATGCAGCAGTTGCCAAACTTAGTTGGCCGAAGTTTGAGACTTCTGTTAAAGGGAAATTTTTCAAGAAATCCTTTACTATAAGGTTAAACATAAACTTTGATACTTTCACCAATTATCTGATTTAATTATTCTGTGTTTGCTCCATGGGTGAAATTGCTCCCTCTGCTCTGTATAGTTGCATGCTAATAAATGCAAAATGTCTTGCCAAAGTATTCCTACCCATTGAACAATTTCTTTTAATATTTTGGTACGTTAAATGCATAAAGATTCACAATTATTGGAGGATTTTTTATTTAAATTTCAACATGCACCAGTACATAGTTATGAAGTGGAAGAAAAATGGTTCATGTTTTATAAAATTAGAATGTACTGTGATACACCTAAATAAGAGAGGACTACTAACCCTGAAACCCAGAGAAATAAGGCGACTTTATAGACACTAAAGCATTATGCTGCAGTACATTCTTTAGTTGGTCAAAGTTATAATTTAATATGAATTGAATTACATTAACTGAGCAAGTGTTCCATAAAATCCACAGTTTTTAGATTTTATTTTGCATTTCTGCCTTCATTTTAAGTATAAATTTGTTTTTATCTGGCTATTGTCTTGGCTAAACTTTTACAATAATGGAATAAATAAATATTTAAGTCAGCACTGTACCATATTTAATAGTCTGTTCTCAAATTTGTACTTCCTCCCAGCTGTTATTGACCTCCCACACTTTGTTTTTCTCTTGTCATTCCTCCGTTCCAGGTGGTCCAGGTCCCAGTGGAGTCCTGTGAACAGTATGGTACATGTGTTGAGTGCCTCAGCGCTGGTGATCCCCACTGTGGCTGGTGTGTGCTGTACAACATGTGAGTCTATTCCCTTTATTTTCTCATACCCCCACCAAAGCAGATGGATTAAAATTCTAACGTCACTGTTTACCAAACTGCTTGCAGGAAAGCTGAGCGAGGTTAAGCCCATGATTTGTGCAGTTTGATATAGCACTCCTATTATAGTCTCTGGAGCTCCCCATTAACATCTGGAAAATGAGGGAAGTGGTTTCTGGACTTTGTGATCCATGATAAAGTGCGGCATTTAGGAAAACAGAAGCTGCATGATCTCCAGATTTCATTGTCTGCCAAACGAAAGGACAACGGTGTTAATGGAGGAAAGAGGGATTAGCCTTGCAGTCACAGCCAGCGCAGCAGCTGCACTTTTTACTTACCCATAGAGCATTTTGGACCTGACGGAGCAAGCTTTATCTCCTCCATCTTAATTATCTGACCCCAGGTTAGCTTGCATAACAGTTCGATATGGAGCAAAGGGGATTCAGAAGATTAAAAGTGTGCATTTCTGCAGCAGCCGCTGTGTTTGAAGCTAAATTCAGTCAGGGATTTATTCTTGTCTCATCGTTTCGTTTGCATTCAAGCTAGCAATATCTTGATGATGATCAGCATTATTTAAATTAAAGCCCTCAATGTTATCAAACTTAGAGAATAGAAAAAAATGTTTTAAGATCCAAAATTCTCTGCATAATATAGTGTTTTTTTCCCCCTAAAACTACTTCTGTCTGTAAATCTCATTACATTATTTATTTGATTTAAAGTCATCAGCAAGTGAACAGGCTGCTGTTCCCTCCAGTTTCAAAACAATCTCCCACACTGCAGAGCAAAACTACATTGTTTTTCTGCCCTATTAAATTCAGATTGGAGTCTTTTTCAGCTCTCTGAATGACACTCACAGTGTCATGTTGACTGCTTTCAGCATCTCACTTTCCCACCCGTGGTGATTTGCACCAAAGCACCTTTCTAACAGAGTGGGTAAGGGTTGTTTGTGCACATGTAAAAAGCCTGAAGGGGAAGAAAAGGAACAAATGGTTTGATCAGACAAAAAGAAATGAAAAAACCCACAGTGAATAAAAGAAACAAAATAAAAGGCAATGAAAGAGGGGCAGAGATGAAAGGTGCCTATTTTCTTTGACACTTTTGTTGATGAGCGGTCAGAAGGTGATCTGGGCTTGTGTGCTTCAAGGAGCAGAGCATCAACAGCTGCCTCCGTATTTCTAATCCATCTTTAAAGCGAGCCATAATTACAGCACAAGACTCAGCTTTCTCTCAGGAGGTGCATTTGTATGTCTTACTACCGCCACCTTTTACTATGCATTCAGAGAAAGACATGATAGTTTACATCTAAATAACTCCCTTAGTTTACTATACCAGCTCAGCTTTACAGCTTATGTCTGACATTCAATATTTTCTATCAAAAAGCTGTTTGAAAGATGAACCAGTTTCAAATAGATTAGTATTGGTGAAACAAAAAGTATCTCCAAAGCTAATCCCCCTTTGCAAGCCTGGACAAACTGCCTGACATTTTCAGTATCCACTTGTAGTTTAAGTGTATGTTCAATGGGGCTTTCTTCTCTTATAAAAATCCCTGTGATGTCCTGCTATGCTGCCCATCCTTTAACTCATTACTTTTAATTGTGTTTTAGGATTTAGGATTTAAGCCAATTGCTTTGTATTTAACTCTGAGACAAGCAAAAATTAAAGCCTGTTTAACATACTTTTTTGAGACGGTCAAATTAAAAAAATAACTGGCTTTGTGAGACTGGTTTATGTAATGCTACTGTCCAATGTGTTTCTTATGCAATCAGTTTGTGGAGATAAAAAGTAGGGAAACCCGAAGTGACTGCTTAAGAGTGACTTTAAAGCAGCAAGGATCGGGAACTGAGAGAGCTGATTGGTTGATCCATCACCTAAAAAGTGGAATAAATGAGAACATAAACTTATTTTACAATCATACCGTTATTAATAAAAACACTAGATCAACTTTTTCATCCTTATAAGGGATATAAGGGAATTTAATCTTGGTCTCAAGAGAAACGGTAGAATGGAGTGGGAGACAAACAGTGGTGGAAAGCAAAGTTATTCACACGGAAAAACCCACCTTTTCCCAAAAGAGGACATTGGCTTAAGACTAGAAACTGACTCACATCTTGGCGGCTTCTCATTTGGCCCTAAACTGCTACAGTTCATGTTGAAGGTCATCATTTGAAGAGAAGAGCTCCAAAGGATACATATCATCTGTAGGATGTGAAGATAAAATCTTGAGGTTCCCAAACTAATTATCCTCCTTTCTACACTCCTTGCAATAGTTTCCAAGAAGAATAAAAACAAGATAAGAGACAAAATGCAGCCCTTGTTGACTCCCATTAGCACTGGGAACAAACTTGAATTTACTCAGAGACTTTTGCACAATCCAGTTTATGAAATAAGAAAAGGGCATTTCCAACATAGGGTCTGAGATGGACTGGGAGCTTTTCTACTGCAGGGAGTGGATGGATGGATGGACTTATTAAATACTGGCCTAACACATATTTCCCATGCATTTTTAACATGGGAGCACTTTTGGTTGTCAGCAGTGGTCAATCAATGAGTTGTTGAGATGATTTACAACCAGGAGAGGTCACATGTCTATTAAAAGGCCAACACGGAGACACCGGACCGACTATCATGGGGCAACACAAAATAAACTTGTGGAATTTTAAAAGAATACAGATGCCTTTCCGTTTTTTTTATGCTAATGGATGATGAAGCATTAAAACAACAACTAATGAGCCCACCTGCATTGTCTCTCCATTGCCTTAAATAGTCTGTGTGCTGCATAACAGCTGCGGTTAAGGGGCCAAACTTCCAGCGCAGTCTTACAGATGTGACATCAATTGACGCTGCATTCGTACCCTACAGCTCTGATCAGTTGTTTCAGTGGTAGTAGAAGACTTGCTTGGCATGGTGCTTGTTGCTGCTACAAAATATGATCTGTGGTATTGTAGCGAACAGTTACGTAAGAAATAGTGCAACATCACTGGTGGCTGCAGTTACCCGCAGCGCCAGTTGTGTCACTAATGAGTCTCTTTCCTTATCCTTTAAAGACAATTTATAGTGGCCAGTTAAAAAAAACATGCATGCATTTGTATGCCTTTTGAATGTGGGAGGAGGCGGATATATGACATCTACCAGAACTTTAAAGCTGCTTTAATGAAACTCAAATGCTTATGTCAGCGTAAAAAAAATAACTTGTGTGAAATCTGATCCTCTTTACATATTAATATCCACCTGAACAGTGGAGATAAATAACAAACAGTTGAGGCTCTATTATGAAGATAGCTGTAGCCCTGCATTGGTCAGCACTTACTTTCAATTATGCTTTTTACATAAACAGTGCTGAGCTTGACAGAGAAAAAAAAAAAGAATCCTACAAGCATTGCTTTTTTTTAGACTCAGATATATTTAAATCATATATTTTTCCCCCCACAGGTGTTCAAGGAAAGATCGGTGTCTGAGGGCAGAAGAAAGCTATCGCTTCGCAACTGACATTGACCGCTGTGTGAAGGTTATTGCTCACCCGGACAGTATCGCTGTATCAGCACACAGTGTCCCAGTAAGTCTACTTATCATTCCAACCAATCGCTGCCCAGTCACTTCCCTCAAAATGCTATTGTTTGTAAGCAATCACCTTGAGTAGCCTTGTGGAGCCTTATGTACATTTAAGTCTAGACCCAACAGATATTAGCTTTGTGAGAAGTGAAGTGCAACAGGAGGTAGCTTCTCCCTGTGGGGCATCTATTGGATTTGTTTTGGTTTAGCTGTATTGGTGTATGAGGCCCGAATTTAATGCATTGGAAACTTAGAGATCAGGCAAGAAGCAGATTTTTTTCATTTAGCACACAGCTGAGAATAAAAATATATGGAAAGGAGTCAGCTTTTTAAAATGGCTTTTATCTAAGGTGTTTTGAAGCGTTTATAACGTACATTATATAAAGTTTGAATCTTATATTCATTAATCATTAATGTTGATTTTGTGTTATCTTTTCTAGTAGTACAATTTGTTGCCATCATAAAATCAGACTCTGTGCAATATTTTTTCTAGCTCTTGCTGGAGGTGAATAATGTTCCAGATCTTTCTGCGGGAATCACCTGTTCATTTGGCCAGCAGGCCCAAGCAGAGGGCCACGTAAATGGGAATAGAGTCATGTGTCTCTCCCCAGCCGCAAAGGAAGTTCCCCAGATACCGGAGGGACGAGGTGAGATCAGATAATAGATCTAGAAACTATGTGGCCTGACTTGTTGATCTAATGGATGTCACTATTTATAAGCTGTTGACATAAACCATTTTGATTACACATATATTTTTATGAAACTATTTTATTTTAATGAACTTTTTAACACAATTTATGATGGCCAGTATATAGATTGAAATTATTGATTGTTTTTTTTATCTATTCTGCTAGCATCAAATTGCCTTAAGATCTACTTGAAAATTGTTGGCTTAGTTTTGATTTGTAGACATCACAGGAGTACATCTCTTTGGTTTGGGAGTACTCTGTATGCATTAATGATGTGTTGGTCTGATTTAAGCAGTAGGAGGGAAGTTTGTAGATAGTGTGGAGATTCCTGGAGATCGGAATTAGTGTAATTTATCATCTGCACATGTGAGTACACAACACACCCCTGTAGTTTGTCTCCAGTAATTTGTTAGTTGCGTCTCAGCTACGCTTTTAAGGCAAACATGATACAAAAGGCATATGATTTGCCGAGATAAGAGCCGAGTTATGGGATACATTGAATTCTATCAAAGGCCAAAGTTGTTAGATTCTACTTTATTACTGTAGCTTATGATAAAAACAGTTTAAAGTTTGTATGTTTTTTTTAATATATATTTTTGATATATGACAAAATGTGGTTGCGAGAGAGGGGTAAGACATACAGCAAAAGGTGTCTAGGTTATTACTCAAACCCTGAACAGAGCATTAAAGAACTAAAGCCTCTGGATATGAGATGTGCGCTCTACCCCTCTGCCAATGCTGTTTGGGTTTTCTGTTGTGAAGCAAACAGTGTTGTTTTGTCAACGATGAAGATGACAAAATCATTTTGTTGACTTCTATTTAATGTTGATAACGAAAAACTGACAAGCTAAACATGGATCTTTTTATGACTAAAACATGAATAGTCATAGGTTTGGGTTTTCGTTGACGAGACTATATAAAAATAAGCGGGTCGTACGTTTGTCAGATGTTTAAACTTCATCATTGTGCTGTAATCTGCTAGGCACGGTCAGCTGTGCTGCTGGATCTTGTTTGATCCTGCTGCCCACCATAAGTGCAGCACTACACATTCTGCATGTATATAGATGGATCATGGCAGCAGCGGCAGAGTCTGAGAAAATAACCCGGAATGGACAAATTAGTTTGATCTTCCATCTGTGCTTGTGCAGAAATGCAACTTTGCGCTTGCAGAGTCCACGCTCCACTCGTATGGCTCTTCCTGCTCTCGCTACTTAATAAACTATGTGGCTGATCATCCTCTGCCAAGCTTAAAAAATCCCTTTACTATCAATATTTTATTTCTTCCAAATCAGAAGAGGTGGTACAAAACATTCTTTAATTTCTACCAAAAGGAGTCCCTAAACTATATCCGGAGAAAATATTTTATTGCATACTGTTTATTTTTGGATAAAGAGCCAGGTGAAAAGGTACATAGATCTTTGAATATTTTTCTCTCATTGTTCTTATGTCTATGTATTTAAATATGATGTAAATGTTTCCTTGGATTGTAATGAAAATATTTTTCTCTGTTTCATGTAAATATGTCAATATTTTAGTTAGCATATTCAGTCAATTTAGGTCTGGATTGTCATGGCATTAAAAGGTAATTATGAAGGTTCTCTCTGTATTTTTTTTATATGAGAACCCTGTGAATTTAAATCTACTTTGACCCCTGAGGAGCAGTAACTAAGGGGCAAATTCTCAGAAATAAAGCAAAAATAGCCAAAGTAGTTTTTGTTCTTTGCTTTTTTTTGAGCAATGAAGATTTCATTGATCTTTTTGTAATGCATAATTCATAGTAGATCAGGAAGTATTGTTTTTTGGATGGAAACATTTTATGTCTAAAACCATTCCTTTATTGTACATTTTGGTAGCTTGTCTGTCTGCTATATTGACCAATATGATGTGTTGAACTAGATCCACTATTTTCACAGCTTTTGTGAGATACTTTTTTTTTTTTTTTTTCAAAGTAGAGCATTAATTCTTAAAAAAAAAAGTTTATTTGAATTCTATAAATCAAAATTCTGCCTAAAACCAACAAAAACTGTCACATATCGTAATCACTAAAATGTGACTAAGACTAATAATAGTTTTCGTCCTGAAGACTAAGACTAAATCTAAGATGGCTGCAAAAAACAACACTGGCAGCGAAGCAACAAAGGCACAATGTATGATAAGCAGCTAAAGGGACCACATCCAGGTGCTACAGATGAGCCAGTGGTGAAGATAAAACCTCCATAGTTTTTAGTAAAGCTGCTGAATGCTAATTAACACCCTATTTTATCCGGATGCATGATGTATTATTGTTGTGTCTGGTAATGTGCATACTATGTTTAATCCATTAGCTTTACTCTGACCTATGACTTCACCCTTTAGGTCATATTGTGAAAATAAATGAATCCTAAAATAACAGAATTAGCTGATGCATATAGTTTATAAATACAGATTATTTGAAAGCTACAATCTGAATTATAAAAGTTTGGGAAGAAAATTTGTATTTCTCATCAGTTCAGGACAACACTAAGTCATATTTTTGTAAATAAAACATGAAGATTTTACATAAATTTTATGTTGAAAATATAAAATTTTCCACTCCTAATGCCATATAATAAATGTAAATTTGTGTTGTAAAAAAAAAATATATATAAAAACTTAATAGAACATTTTTTTTCTTTCTTTTTGAGAAATTCATAGTTTACATTATTAGTAAAAGTAGATATTATTTTAGATCTAATGTTCTTAGGTGTCACCCTAAATTAACATTTAGATATTTTATGCTGTTCATTTATACCACTTCTCATTTATTCATACATAACTTCAAAGAAGTTGAATAAATAATTTCTAAAGTCATTTTCAGATCCTACTTAACCATCTACAAACTTTATTCACTCCTACTGCTTAAATCAGATCAACAAATTGTTAAGGCATACAGAGTACTCCGAAACCCAAGAGATGTTCTGTTCTGCTGTCTACAAATCAAAACTAAGCCAATAATTTTCAATTAGATCTTAAGGCACTTTGCTGATAGCAGAATTTGAGAAAAAAACAAATAAACCAATCAATACTTTCAATCTATATACAAATACCAACTATAACAGCCTGCCAGGCATGGAATTTTATTTCTCACCAGCAATGAGATTTCTAAAGAAATGATGGGTGAAAATATTCAAGAACATCAAATAAAGAAGGATTAATCTCTCAGATCCTGTTTTTGTTTGGTTTTACTTCCCCTTTTCTTAATTGCATGAATTTGAGATATTGTTCCTCTGCAGGGATTTTTTTTAGAAGAATTCTTTAGAAAATTTGTGAAAAAAAACTCTATAGTGAAACATAAAGGAAAATAAATTACATCATACAACGTTTAGAGAGTCACATAGGCTTATAATAAAAATGAGCTAAATGAAGCAAAGTTGAGTTTTTGCAAAGTTCTACAAAGAGGATTTAGATGAATTTTAGAGGTTTTAAATGTCATATTGGCACATTCAATGTAAATAGATGTTGTTTTCTATTTTGTTTCCTTTTTAATATATAGTAATTCAGGTGAGGAAAAGGTTCTCTGGATTTCCCTTCACCCATTTAAAGAAATCCTTGTTTTTGATTGAAGGTTTGACAGCAGCTTTATACCAGGATCCTTTCAGGAGCCAACAGATCGCATTGTTTTTTTGCTCTAAAATCATGAAAAATTTACAAATTTCTCCTCATTCAAAATTCTTTTCATCACTTTATGTTTTGGCTCTCTAACTCATATTTTTTTTTTTTTCAGTTTTTCCTTCTTTTTCAACAAACTGGGCTTTTTTTTAACCTCTTTTTCAGACTGGGCTGGTGTGGAGCTTCGTCTGAATTCCAATGAGACAGGTCAAATGGTCGCCAGCACGGAGGTGAAGTTCTACAACTGCAGCACGCATCAAATGTAAGTCCAGGCAGACACACGCCCCGTCCCTCCCCCCCTCTCTCTTCCTCCCCCACTTTTGATTTGTTCGATAGATGGAGGAGAGCAACTTAATTTAGGGCAATGATGTACTGATGCTTCCAACCCCACTTAAGATTGTGCTGTTAGATAACCTGGGAGTTCAATTTATCTGTCAGGTTCCATTTAAATCAACATGAAGCATTTGTCATGGCCAGTTTATTTTGAATTTGCTTTAAGTGGCAGTTTGTGGGCTTACTGCTTACAGATTTAAATACAGATAGCAAGTTTGATTTAAAACAGTACAAACATTTATACACATTTTTTTCCCCTCGAATTTCCTTTTTTCCTTTTAAGTAGTATAAAACCAATCCCATGACCCATTTTAAGGATTCGTGTTCTTCGGTACTGCAGAGCCCTTCTGCTCACAGCTGATTTCCCAATGCTAAATTCAAGTACATCACTGGATTATCTTAGATCCTGTGCACAAACAACCATCAGTTTTTAGTTAAAACCTCCTCCTTATGAACAGAACAACAGAAGAAATGTTAAAAGTAATTTCCAGCTAGTACTGGGTAATAAATTGCATTAAAATGTGGTTTGCTCCAAGTAAAATTTGTTGCACCAGAGTTTCCTCGTATAGGAAGATTCAGATTTTCCTATATACATAACAATGGAGACAAGGCATGTTTTTAAAACTACTTCATTCTGGAACATGTTTTCCAATCTTGCAGAGTTTAGAGAGAAGGTCCAATCTATGGTGTACACGACCTAAAATCTTTTCACTGAACACAATGAAACCTTTTCTGAAAAAAAAAACGTCCTTCCAAATTTACTTTTAAATGAAAAACAGTTTGAAATGAAAAACCTTTCTATATTCCCAAATGTCTGTACTGTCTTATTTAAAACATAGAATAAATAAATTAATCAGTGTTTATTTTGAGCCATAATTAAAAATTATTGATCTGTGTTTGTGAACCTTCTTCTCATTTATCATAAAAAAAAAAAAGTTAAACTCCAGTCAGCTCTTCAGTGGCCTCTCTCTTTATGTTTTTCTTAAATGAAATATTTAAAATCGAAGGATATTTCAACCAAAGTACTTTTAATATTTCCAACCCTAAAAAGCGTGTACTTTTCCATTTTTATGTTTTTAAAAACAATAAAGAAATATAGGGATATAGGCATGCAGTTTTATCCCAAAATGGAAAAAAGAAATATTTTCCCTTTGTTTAAAAACCACATGTTTAACTCCATGTGTACTGAAATGATCACCATTTAAATCACCAGCTTTGAAATTGACAGAAAACCAAAAGTCCAGCTTTATCAGTATTTTCTAGTAACAATGAGCTCATAGTATGCAAATCCTGATGCTATCTGATCAATACTAAAATCTTCTCCTAGCTTAATTTGATTGAGTTCTTTGAGAAAATAATTTTAGGCTTCATTATTTAACAATCGATGCAACATTCTAATAACATTATACTGGCTTTTAGAAATTGCTTCAAAGACTGCTAAATGGACAAGCATTAGACTCACAAACCCCCTCTGACCTGACTTTGTCTCAAGGGAACTTGCCTCAGAAAATCATAAGACCTTATTTTTTTTTGTCCTTCTCTAGTGCCTGGAGGGCAGGTAAAACCGTGTAAATTAAAGAGCACTTTATTTAAATGCCAGCCAATATAAGCTCTCTAACTCGGCCGGGGAAGCTGTTTTGACTACGAGCAATTTTGCAAATGTCAACTGTATTAATCACAACAGTAAACTGTGACAAGAGGCTTGCATTGTGCATAACAATTACATGCAAGAACAACAGCGGATCTTATTAGGATGAACGTTAATTAGTTGTATGTGTCACTCTTAAAAGAACGTAACCTTCTAGGTTTTTCTAAGAAACAACAGATTTCAAACTGTCATGAGTCCAAATCACGTTACTTCAATTGTCCACCTTACCTCTCTGCCACACTATGCTGACGGCACCACAGCGTAAAACCAGAGTAAACAGGAGTCCCTGATAGAAAGAGCTTTTTGAATTAAGTTCACTTTAATTTACATATGTTCTGTTTACTTTATCTAAAATATAAACACCACAACATACCCATAAGTCATTAGAGGAAAACAGTTGTATGCTCATTACATCTGCTCCTCACCAATATGGCCTCCATTAGCTGCAGGGTGACCCCGTATACTCGAGTGATTAATATTTTACACCAAACATGCTCCTAACCCTGCACCTCCTTTCCCATCTCCCTCTCTCCTACCTTCACCTCAGCATCACATCAGCCTCCATAATTAATTAACCAGTGTTTGCTGCTCCCTGCCAGTCCAGCTCCACAGTAGAGCTGCACAGCCCCTCCCACCTCTCACCCAATATTATCTTTTTCTTGTATAGCACTTTTAATGTCCATCCTAGCCTAGGGCCGCTAATTATTGTCAAAATGTAATTATGTTGCTCTACATTTATCAGTATTTATTTGTCAGTATGTGCTGCAGAATTAGAAGCCTTCAGGTGGTTTATGTCTTTCTAAAAGTTTCATACCATTAAATATTTTGAATACAAGAAACAGATATAAGATCAAGGATTACATGATTATTTGTCTCCAGGAAATAGACATTATCTTATGGACTTCTTCAAATCACATCAATGTCTTGTTTAATCAAGTTGGTTGATGTTTAGCAACAATAATCCATTATCGACCCTTTCTCAGAACCAATTAAATCAGAGCCAAGGACGTATCATTTTAACCCTTTATACGGCACTCAGGGAAATCAAAAATCTAAATTTCAGGCCTACATTTAAATTATTATTGAAGGAAGGGAGGAAGGAAACCTTGTTACTTTTTAATCTTTAAAAGTATATATCTGTCCGTCTGTCTTTCTATCTATAAAAAGAAAAAAAAAGAAAAAAATATATATATATATGCTTTCCTGAGATAATCCATCCCACCGCACAGGTGTGCCATATCAAGATGCTGATTAGACAACATGATTAGTGCACAGGTGTGCTTTTGACTGCCCACAATAAAATGCCACTCTGAAAGGTGCAGCCTTGGTTTTTAATGGTTGGTATCTGGTTTAACCAAAAGTGATGTGTTTATATTTTTGTTAAGTGTACATAGATATAGATAGATATATGGATATAGATATACATGGAAAAAATCGAGATCAATGTTGTAATCAGAAATGGTACCTTGCCCCAATATATACAAAATCATAACAAAAGTGCTTCTATAAGAAATTAATTTCAAACACATTTTTGCTCTTACAATATAACCTGAGAACAACTATATTTATATATATATATATATATAAAACAATATATAACAATTTTATTTATCTTAGAACTTTTTTAGCTTTTTTAAACTTCTTTTATATTATGATTCAAATTATCTGGCCAAATGCTCAATTTATAAAGCGTGTGCAAAACCAAAAACGTTAACTTGCCCTATAAAGTTAACTACTTTCATTGATAATCAGATGACACTGTCAAAAAATAGAAAAACTATAATCTGAAAGGTTTAAAAAAGGCTTGTCGGCGGATAAAAATGTCTTGCCCAATAACGCAACAATGGGGACAATGAGGTGCTTCTCAAACTAAAATTACAGTTTACAGAATTAACACAACCTTCTGAGCCACTGTTTAATATTTCCCTATGATTTGAAATATGGCATGACAATTATTTTTACAATTTTGATAATCAATAGTAAAAAATTGCATTACAGCAGTCAAAACCTTTTTACTTGCTGAGCATCACTTTCAATGTTTTCACCAGTATTTAGATAATACTGATTTATGATGAGCTCTTCATGTTGGTTTAGTATGAAGATTACTTTAATCTTAATTCTAGGAGTACAGGCAGCTTTTGAATGTTTTTGCGGCAAACAAAAAACCGTGATGCTTCACCCCCTCCACCCCAGTAGAGATATAGGTTTGGGAAAATGTTAACAAATGTCGGTCACCCCTTCCTTTGAGACCGTTCACAGTGTGGATGATGTCACTCCTTAAGATTCAGTGGTACACATGTAAAAACTCTAATAACAGAAGGTTATCAAGTCTCCATAGCAACTAGGGTTTTTATGCACGTCTTTCGCAGAGTTGTCAATAATTGGAAATGGTAGAGTTTATTGACAAGATAAAGTCATCTTACATCTAACAAGGACATTTTAAGTCCTTCATACTTAATAGTTGTGTGGCACGGTGATTAACCTGTTTAAAGTTCACTTTGATTGCAGAAGATTTATCCAATAAGCCTGCTTTCTCATGGTCATGTTTTATCATCTCCGGAATAAAAATGACATTTATACTTTGTGATTATAAATCATCAGGGGGGAAAAAAATCATTACTCTGAGTCAAGCTTTTGAAAACGGTCTGGAAGATGAGTTGGACTCATAAAGATCTGCGTATTTGTTTTGCAGTATGTAGTAACGTGGTTATTTCTTTGCACAGGTGTCTTTCATGTGTAAAGAGCACATTTCGTTGCCACTGGTGTAAATACCGCAACCTCTGTACTCATGACCCAAGCAGCTGTTCTTTCCAGGAGGGAAGAGTCAACGCTTCAGAGGTATAAAAACACAGAACAACTCCATTTCATCTAAACAGTGATTTTGGGAATATCATGAATCTGCTGATATGTTAACCATAAAGGAAATGAGAAAATGAATTCTCCAAACAAAGAAACAACCAGATTTAAAGCTTATTGCTGTGATTCTGACCAGGAGAGCTCATAAAGGGATGCTATAAGCTTGTGATAACACTGCCAACATGATTTTTTTGAGCAAATACTCATAATGTCTTTGTTTTTAGAATAATCCATCCAAAAAACCAAACAAAACAAACAAACACAAAACTTCTGTCTGAGATCCTTACTTATTGCATCGGATAAATCCCTGCTCCAAGTGAGTTATTTTCATGCAGATACACTTGCCCCATACACCCTTTTAATCCCTGTTCTACATTGGTTTCTATGCTTATATAACGGGGTGGAAGCTTATAAAAGAGACACAAACAAATATGTTGAAAAGGTTTTGCAAATGCAATGCAGTATTTCTGCATGTTTACAGCTGAAACCACATGTTTTATATACAGATATGATAGATAGATAGATAGATAGATAGATAGATAGATAGATAGATAGATAGATAGATAGATAGATAGATAGATAGATA